CTCTCTTGGGCTCAAGTGGCTTATATGAAAGTCATCCATCATGCGTTTTCTGGTGAAGAAAAGGTTGGGAAGTGCTGTGACAGATGGGAAGTGGACCTCACCTCTATGTTTGGTTCATGTTTATCAGCCCTCAAGTCCAGGTACTTGCAGCTGTGGTGATTGCACCTGCCTTTCACCTTTGACATCACTTCCCTAAGTCCTTTATTTGAGACCCTGTGTATTTTTAAATACATACATTACAGTGTTCCTAGATTATTGTGTTTATGACAGAAACAAAGAAAATGTCTTTGCTGGATGATAATGAGCACAGTCCTTAACTGGTTCTTGAATAAATAACACTTAACCTGTACTACTTAATCATGCTGACCTTACTAGTAAGTCAGGGTGATTAAATTTGAGCCCAAGATTTATTAAGCACATACTATGTTTCAAGTCTATAGAAGACAACAGAGTATACTTTTGTTCTGGGCCAACAAGACAAATATAACCCAAGCCCTGATAAAGCTTATAGTCATTCGGTGTTGGACCCAACCCAACACTTTTTTTTTCAGCCCACCATCTTTTTCTCCTTCCCTCCTTTCTTCTTTAAAAATTAGAGACCATATAATGTGCATGTAATGTACAACAGGATGACTCTAGCTAACACTGCCTTATGATGTATAAGAAAGTTAAGGGTATAAATCTTAAGGGTTCTTATCACGAGGAGAATCTTTTCCCTTTATCATTTTCTTCTTTCTTTTCTTTTTGTCATATCTCTATGAGGAGATGGATGTTAGCTGAAACTATTGTGGTAATCATTTCACAATATCTGTAAATCAAGCCATCATGCTGTACACCTTAAACTTACACAGGGATGTATGTCAATTATTTCCCCAATAAAATTGGGAGATTGGGGAAATGGAGACCAGTCTTACCTGGACCATTACCAATCTCTGGCTCTCATTGAGAGTCTGCTATTTCCTTTAACTTTTCTACCTACCGATCTATTGCCACTCCTTCCTCACGTCTGACCCTCTGTGGTTATTGTGCATGCTTATGGGATTTCTGTTTACCTTAAACCCTCTTTAACAAATTCAACACAACTTTATGGAGCACCTTGGATGTGCAAAGCCATGTGCTAAGCTCAGAGGGAGATCAGTAAATCTATGAGACTCAGTTCCTTGAAGATGCTTGCGCTCTAGTGTGGAATATAACTAGTCTCTCACCCACGCGAGGTGAGAATGACCTACTGGGTGAGTGTAGAAAAAAGAAATTTTCTTTGCAGCTGAGGAGGAGAGGGGAGGTGAAAGCAGGGGCAGATGGGAAGATTCAGAATTCCCCATGGCCCTTCATCTATTCCAGTAAGTATAGCCACCTCTTTCCTAGCTGAAAGGTTTTGCCACTGACTCAGTCTTTCCAATACTGAGCCCTTTCCCCATACAGGATTGTCCTAGCAAATGTAGGAGCTTGCCTTCCAGCCTTCCATAGAGTGAAGACTGGTGGTACCCCGGAGCTGGCTATCTGACCTGCTTAGCCTGTGATTTTCAGCCCCTTTTTTGTTTAATGAAAAACAGTGACACACTGAGCTGGCAAAAAGAGGAACATCTCATGTAAAGAAAGTGATTGTTATTGTTTCTTCACATATCAGCACCATGCAGTCTTGTCATGTTTAGGCTTACAGGTAAGCATTCATTATTGCATGCATCTGCATCTATGTGATTGGAAACTTTATAACTGAGATAGTTCCTATGAGTTTTCCAAACAAAAGCTGAAACCTTTTGGCCTCCAGAAACGAGCCTAATCAAGAATAAAATAGGAAAAAAGCAAACAGTGAAAAAGAAAAATAACCCAAATTTAATAGATATTTTCATGATAGCTTCCTCAAAGAGTAATATCATAAAGAAAGCAAATATAGACTCGCTCCTTCTTCCTTAGGTAAATATAGTTCCTGAATGAGATTTTCAATTGAAAGTTTTTTTAAGAAAAATAATAAAACTCCTGAGGTCACCTGCATAATGACGGGTCTGGAAGTATTAATACAGTTGCTGTTTGAGCCCTGTTTTCATCATAGCCTCTGGAGGAGGCTGCCTCTAGGTTTCTCAGGGTTGGCCGGTAACATGTCACATCAGTCGCTGTGATAAGCACTTGTTAGGCCCCAGAATCAGTTGGTTTCTGTGCTTTCCTACAGACACTAAATTTCACCCAAATAAAGAAACTACGAAAGGGGAACTCAAAGTCAACAAAGCTAAAATTTCAGCTCCTTATTCTTTCTTTATCAGGTTAATGAGGAGGGCTGCATTTTCCCCCCTGTTTAAAAATCTTCCTTTTGTGTGTGTGTGCATGTCAGTGTGTCTGTGTGCGCATATATACACACACAATATTCACAAGCCCTTCGAAGTTGCTCTGGCAAAAGTCTGTAGGAAAGGCTTGATTTTGAGGAAAAAGTTATTATAAACAATAGCAGCCCCCCCCCATCAAAGAAAGAAAATTTTTCCAGCACTCTTTGAACCTTAAACATTGTTTTTATAGGCCAGCTCATTGTTTTTCTTCTCTATGAAAAATTAAAAACAATAACTGTTTTGATGAGTTCTCCGGGAAAAGACAGTTTCCATGATTTCATTTCTTGACAAAGAACAGCTACCTCACTTGGTTTCTGCCCCATGTAAGCAAACTCCCAGCTGTAAAACCTCCCATCAGAGGAAGGGACACGGGACCACAAGACTCTCCCCACCTGCCCGGGGAGACTGGCTGCCCCCCGGGTGTGAGAGGTGGATGAGTCGCAGGGGTGAGGTGTGGGAGAAGAGATAACGACTGCCCCCCACCGTGTGGGCGCAGCCTGTGCTGTCACAGCAACATTCAGGGTGGCATCTGCCGTCACCACTTGATCTGGGTTGTCTCTTCAAAAATTAAAAAAAATAATAAAAAAAAAAACAAGGTGTGCCTGTCTTTTATAACGTTCTGTTTAAAAGGAGAGAAATCTCCGTGGAGAGAACAGGACCCTAAAAGTCCAAGGCCTGGAATTCCTCCTTTCTCTCTTTCCATTTTAAACAGGAAACATTCCCACTAAGAGGGTCCGGAGGGAGCGTTGGTTGTGTGTTCATTTTAAGGCAGATAATGTTTGTGTGTTGCAAATGTCAGTGATTTATCCCAAGGGCTTAAAATGAGTGCAGAAAAACCACATGTTTCACTTCATGCAGAGAAATGGCTTCAGTAGATTTCGAGAGAAAGCACAGGTTTAGGATATTTTTTTAAGTGTTTCGGAAATCTCTAACATGAACCAAAAGGAAATAGAAATGAGAGCGGGGTGGGGGGGGGTTGTGGAGCAAGGGGAGGCTTAAAATATTTTATGACAAAAGATACAATGAATGCTGGAAGTTTTGTAAATCAAAAGTAAAATTCTAAAGGAAAGGGAAGATATAACCCTGATCCTTGATTTCCCAAGGCTGGAGTGACAGATTATGCATTTGTGCTCTATTTGTCATGGGCAATTTACAATAGAGCAAAGCAAACTGCACTGAATAATAGCAGTTGATGCTATAATAACTTGTACACAAACAATTTAATTTTTTTATCTGAAAACTCTAAGTAAATTACCCCAAGCTCAAGGATCTTTCATTATTCTACGTAGCCAAATTAAGACATCAAAAAGTAGAGAGCTAGTTCTATTGTTCACCCTTATGAACGTGTGTTCACAATGCTACTTTCCGCATGCACCCAAGCTTGGAGCTTGTCAAACCTTCATTGATTTGGGGGAACTTACAGAGCTATTTTAACATCCAGCTCTGCAGATTACAGGGTGATTTTGACCCTCATTGACAGTGCTTGATTAACCGCAGACACTGTATTCTTATAGCTATGTCATTTCTTTCAAGTGTTCTACCAATTTGTGCTCTGACATTGAAGAGCTTTTCATTAATTATTATTGTTGCTTTCCCCCCCCCTTAAAACATGATAAAAGGGAGAGTGCTAGAAAGTGGGAAGGATCCAGTGATGGTAGTGGTGAATATGCACACAGAAGGTTTATAGGATTTTAAGAGCCGCAAACAGAACTCATCTGTTTAACCCCAGGCTAGATAAGATGCAGTCATCTGTACATTGTTTAGAGACGCATTGCTTCTGTTTCAGCAAATGGTTCAGAGAATGCTTGTCTGAGTAGAGAGATCCAGACAGGGTCACTTTCTGTGAGTGTTTATTCTTGCCCTGGACCTTTCCGTGTGCCTACTCATTACACAACGCAACTTACAGCTGGTTCGGCTCCTCGCACTCTGCTACCGGCCTGGTGGTGCTTCTTGACTTTGTAATAGAATTGCTTGAGATCGAGGTCCTAGCTGGCTAATTCCCAGCCCTGGGTTAGGACTTTTCGTAGGAAGTGTAGAGAGGGGAGGGCACATAGGGATGTGAAAGAAGCTCGCCGGAGTTAGACCAAGAATATGGCCCATTGTAAACAGCACCCCACAGACCGAGCAGAAAAGTGAGGTCATTCCATGGGAACTGTGTAACTCTGAAGAACCTGTGCACTTCTACCTCCAGGTCTGTAACAGGCTTCAGTGAGGCAGCGAAGGGGAGGGGTCAAGTCACCCCAGCCTTAAGAGAGCCAAAGTCTACCTTGCTTAGAAAACCAGTGTGGCCACTATACCAAAGGCCAACACACGGTGGTTTAAACCAGGTGGAAGTATAGATTTCTCTCTCCTGCACCAATCGGAGTGTAAGCAGTCCTGCTGACATGTGGCTCCCTGATGTCCAGGACTTGGGCCTTTGCCCTCTTGTTGTTCGACCTTCCTCAGCACGTGGCTCTCTCCTTATAGTGTAGAATGGCCACTCCGACGGCCAGCAGGAAGGAGAGAGGGGAAGAAGAAAATTCACCCTCTCCTTTTTAAGGACGCACATCACTCCTCTTCACGCACCATGGGCCAGACCTGGTCTATGACCACACCTAACTACATGAGAGGCTGAACAATGGGGTCTTCAGCTGGGCGGCCCACTTAATAGCTGCTGATCTGTGTCTGTTCTTCTCTTTTCAGGGGAGGACCAGCCGATCCTATAGACTATCTGACGGCAGCACCTCGAGGGCTCTACAAGGAAAGGGAGCTTCCATATTACCCTGGGGCTCATCCCGTGCACCCTCCCAAAGGGAGCTACCCCCGTCCCCCGGATCTGAGGGTTGCAGACCTCCGGTATCCTCAGTATTACCCTCCTCCGCCAGCCCCCCAGCCTAAAGGACCCTTCCGACAAGATGTTCCACCTTCCCCTCCTCAGCACCACAGAGTGCCAGCCTACCAGGAAATGGGTAGACCAGGGCCCCGAGGGGGCAGCCCAGACCAGTACCCCTACCGAGCCCAGGATCCCAGGCAGAAGAACCCCATGACTGCAGCCGTGTAGCTGAATACCACCGAGCTCAGCCCAGCCCAGAAGGGCGACATCTGACATCACCTTCGCCCTCCCTAGACTCTTAAGGCCTTCCTCCTGTCCAGAAGTCTCCATGGTACAGATGGGTTTTGCTCACCGAGGTTGCAACACTTGACTGCTGACCAGTGGGGAAAAGGAGAGGACAGGAGGGTGGGAGAGAAAGGACAGGAGTCACAAAGACAGCACTGCCTAGGATTTGAAATATGTTTAGAATCTCTCAGTTGAGGGCAAGTGGCAGTTGAGCAGGCAAATACCAATGGAGACATAGCACACGGGGCCTCCCTGGCGCACATGAGCCCCACAGAACGGGCAACACGGAGGCAGTCTCAGAGGCTCAGCCTCAGCCCCCTTATTAAAGTTAAGTCTGAAGCGTGGCTGCAAATATGGGCATCTTCAATGAGGAGGGTTTTTCTTTTTTTTCATTGAGAAAACAAAATAACAGCAAACATGACTTGTGATCTCCTTGAAATGTTTATACCCAGAGGAAGACTGCATTTCTGTCTTTGCAGAATTTCCCAGGCTCCCGGTACCACTTGTTTGGTTATGAGTATCTTAGATTTCCTTGCTTTTTATATTTAAAAGAAAATCAGATATGAATGCAGTATTAGTGTCCTGGGAGAATGTGCAAAACTAGTCAGAGCTTCCAGAAGGAATATATTCTGAGGGCCAGATTGAGAGGGCCAAAACTCCCATGGTCCTCCTCCCCAAGTTCCAGGCATGATAACACAGAGATATCCAGTTTCAGAATCCTCCCCAAATCTCCTGCCTGTAATTACTGTAACCGGGGCCTCTACTTTAAGGCTCCCACTTGAGGGCTAAAATGTAATTGGGAAAGAGAGGGCCCCACTGGTTAGGTCACACAGGAAGCGATGCCCTGGAGATGCCAATTCATTGCACAATCAGTGCCAAATAGTGCCATCTGCACCTGGGGACAGGGAAGGGCTGATGTGGCCATTGGGCATGATAACCAGGAGGTAGTAGATGGCAGTGACTGTGTGTATATGTATGTGTGTGTGTGTGAAGGCACGTGAGTTACCAGTATGGAGAATGTGAGATAAAAATGCTTCCTGAAAAGTTTGATGAGGAAGGAAATAAAAAGGAAAAAAAAATCAGAAGGGAAAGGAAAAGAGTTATAAAATGTGATCATGATCTGTCTGCTGTATTTCAGTAACAAAAATCAGGGCATCTCCAATTGGGAATAGAAAGTCTTACGGCTCTGAAAAGCTGACACCCCACCCTTCAAAACCCATCACATCCCCTTTGAGTTTTGCAGTGATTTTCTACTTATTCCAGTAGGACTTCTGACACTTCCAACCTGACCCAAGTGAGGACACAACAAAAGCCTGAGACGCAGCAAAACTCAGGAGCAGCGCTTGAATTGTTCACAGTGACGCTCAAGAGACTTTAAGTCTCTGCCACTCCTTCTCCATTCCCTCCAAAAAAAAAGTCTTGAGTTCAATTTAGACACATTTTGCCTGAGATTAGAATACCTCTGACTGACAGGGTTTAATAAATTATAATATTATTGAATATATGGAATATCCAATCCCAATTAGTCTTTTAGTTTTTTAATTTAATATAACAGTTCTGTTTCCAGGAATGAAGCAGCCGCTGGTTGTAGACATAAACAGTGTCATTTACTGGACTTTCAGAGGTATCATTTCCTAAACCACGGTTTACTGATGGCCATCTTAAAAATAGACTTTCAAGCTGGTTTGGGCCACCTGCCACTTCTCTCAAGCTGGCACCCGACCCCGTTTGCAGTCCGTGTGAGGACACGTAGGGTCTCGAGCCCTGGTCACGTAGAGGTCACGTCCAGGTGAGCTGCAGGGCTTCTCCACCAGCATGCTGAAGGACATTTTCCCCTCAAACTAAATGAACTCCCAGGAAGAAAATGACAAAGTGAGGGCCGTGCAACGTGTTTGGGAGCACTAAAAATCAGCTCTTCGGTGGGTCTCATAGTTTAACCAGATTTCGCTACGCTGTTGAACATAGTGGAGCCAGAAGTCTCCTTCTGGGTCAAGGCCAAGGCCAGAGGCAGTAGGAGAAGCTGAGATTTGGTGCATACTGGAGGCACAGCCCTGGTTGGAAGCATGCCCATGTTTTCACCACGTCGCCACCTTGGGAGCACCGTACCTCCAGCTTACGGGCTCACGACATGCTGCTCCAAACATGGTTTTGTGTTGTCTACACAGTCAACAGAACACTGGCTAATCCCGAGGGGGCAGCCAGAGATGCAAAGGTACTATTAACATGGACCAAAAATAGAGCAGTTTTCTTTTCTTGCTTGAAGTGTAACACGTGCCCTATTTGACCCTGCCCCGAAGAAGCTAACGTGTGTGGTGTGACAGAGGCTCTGCAAGCCAAGCCACAATTAAGAACAGCTCAAATGTAAGCTCTATAAATGCCCGTGTACCAACCCGCCACTTGTCACCACAGAGCTCTTTCCCAGTATCTAAGAGAACAGGTTGTTTAGAGTATTCAGAAGACCAGGCTGTAATCAGTAGGTGCCCAGTAGCAGGAAATAGCCCCCGGTTTGTTTATGGCCTTGGAAAGACTCAATCAGGTGTCTGCTGGCCGCTCCAAATACTCCTAACCCCTCAGGGACAGAGTGGCACGGTGAGCGGCAAACCCACCAACATACACCCACCTGCTCCCCATCTGACTGCTGGGTTGCTGAGGCCTCGAAATGATGTTTGGGCCTCCAGTCACTAGCTATTATAAGGAGCTCTGTTTTATCCCTTTCTGCAGGAGGAGAGAGAGGAAAGGGAGCAGATCGTTGAAAACTTTGAGGTGCAGGAGCATTCAGTCCTCTGTCAGGGAAAGAAACGCTGCATCTCACTAACCCCTTGTGCCATCAGACTGTGGCAGTGTCACTCTTGGTTGAAAATTGCTTCCCCACAATATCAAAGCAGTGGATGAAAGGCAATCTCAAAGACAGGAGCATCTTTTTAAGTCATAATTGAGTAACAAACAAAAATTGGAAAATGAAATTACCGTGAAGCTCGTTATTCTTAGATTTATGGGTCAACATGCATTGACCTCCACGGGACGGCGTGGAGCAAAGATTTTATAGTCAAGAGTGGGGTAGACCCACTGTCACCCCATGAAGCCAACTGTGCCTGCTGCCCGATAAAGGAGGTTTGTGGCTTCGTTGTAGCTTTATTTGTGCCACCAACTAGATAAAATTACAACATGATTCATTATTCCCTTTAAAGATTTATGACCTTGTTGAGCTGTCTTCAGAAAAAAATGCACCTGACAACTTCAGAAGTTGTCATGCCTAAAGTCTAAATACATAAGGATCCAGCCTTTAAAAAGCATTTGTTCCCCTAACCTATAACCCCAGCATCTGCTTTCTTTGGAGAAACATCTTAGCCTTTCAGGGGGATAGATCTGCAGGGTTTGGATAGGAATGTGTGTCTATAAAATTCCCATAGGCATTGAACTCAGAAAATCCACAATGAACCGCCTTCAAATTGGTGCTAAATTGGGTAGACACCCTACTGCTTTCTGAGTCCAGGAGCAACAAAAAGTCCAGATTTAGTGCAATTAGGTGGGAGGGAGTTGGATCCAGAAACAGCCACAGGAGTCTTTCTCTGCACGCCCAGTTCTCAACCGACTTAGTTGGAAAGGATGCCACAATGAGACCAGAAAGAGGAGTCTCCATAAAGTATCCCTACAAAGTCACCTCTCTGGAAGAAAAAAAAAAAAAAAAGAGAGAGAGAATAAAAGGTAGATATCTAAAATAAGCCTAGAATCTCATATGCAGCTACTACTTCTAAGGGAAACTCTCTTCTCCCTCATGTCCTTAAATAGTAATAAAATCACACAGCGCCTGACTTTTAAAGATGGGCTTAACTCCCCAGCCTGGAGTGCTGAGTGAACTAACCCCAAAGACTGGCTCCTGACTCAGCTCTGAGAGAGTGTGCTCTTCCCTCTGTGCTGACAGCCGCGCTGTTTACTACTGGAACATAAAAACAAGCCCTACTGTTTATACAGTCACTTCTCCTAGTGTTTTCCTGTGCTTTTATGACACCAAGTCTGTTCATAAGTTCTGAAGATAAATTATGTGAGATCCTATTTTGGCATATGGGGGTGGAGAATGAATTCTTTACAGACTTTTTAGGATGATCCCATTTGTACCACAGAAAACATTTTGGAAGTTGTTATATATGAATATATAAATTTTTCTTGTTTTATTTTGCATTAAAATAAAGCTTTATTCAGTCAGTAAGACACCAAGGTGTTGGTTTTCACTGTTTGTTTCAGGATTTGATGAATGAACAGGTTAGTCTGGTCCTGATGACCCTTGAACAGCAAAGTCACATGGCAGAGGACATAATGAAAAAGCCTGTCCCATACTGGGCTCCCCAAAAAACACACGCAAGATGGAGATGAGCAAGCAGACTGTTTATTTGAGAGAGGACTTGGGTTCGATACCCACAGAAGGCAGAGCAAGAAAGCAGGGCCGGGCAGAGGGAGAAGCTGAGCCGTGATGTGCTCCCAGCTTAGGCCTCAGCCACCTCCACAGGGAAACCTGGAGCGATCATGACCCTCCAGACTTGTCCCAACTTGGGACCAAGGAGCTGGACCATTACTACCACTGTCTCAGTCAGTGGGTATTGGCTACCCCCGCAAGGAGGTGAGAGCCAGGACTGGGCAGTTCTCTTCAGGTGAGGCAATCCCCAAAGGGGGCTGACAGCTGGGGACAATCTTTGAGAGTTCTTCGCTGTGGTTGGGAAACTTGTCCTTATCTATTTTTTTAAGATGTATTTATTTACTTATTTGACAAGAGGAGGAGTAAAGAACCCCAAGCCGACTCCCCCCTAAACATGGAGCCTGACGCAGGGCTCAATCCCACAACACTGAGATCATGACCTGAGCTGAAATGTAGAGTCAGATGCTTAACCGAGCCACCCAGGGGCCCGAAACTGTCCTTCATTCTTAAGGTGGGATTTGGACGTCTCATCACAGCTTCCTCCTCTGCTGACTCCTCCTCTCTCATGCGGGCAACACTCTTACGTCGCCTACGGAAACATGATCCTGAGTGGGTTCTCCTTGCAACCATCCCTCCATTTCCCAAGCTTCTTTACTGGCTTGTTCTCCGACCTCCCTAGACTGTCCTGTCCTGCAAGTTCATTCACAGCCAAGATTTCAGCTACCGTCTCTGGAGAGATGTGCTCACAATCTCCAGCTCAGATCTGTCTCCCAGGCACATGCATTTCCACTTTCCCACCTGTTGCCCCCCACCCCCGACCCCTTGAACTTTTCACAGATCCTTTGGCCTCAACACACTCAAACTGAAAGCACAGAAGTTTTCTCAGAGTTTTGTCCTGGCCAATGGCACCACCATGTTCACGGTTACAAACCAGAAACCTGGAAATTATCCTTGACTTCCCATTTACAACTCTGAGCTTTCCTCCCACCCACCCCCATCTGAAACGTTGGAAGGCCAGCAGTTCCACCCCGTCGGTGCGTGCTTCCTGACTGCTGCCTTGGCTCAGCATCTTGCTTCTCACCCAGCCTCTTCACCAGCCTTCTCTATGACCTACCTCTGACCGTGCTTCCTTCCAAACCACCTCTATACTATACAGACTCAGCCCCTGCTTTGGTAAATAAAATTTGATTGGAATATGTACCTACCCATTTGCTTATATATCCTTTAGAACTCTTCCATGCTACTATATCAATCTCTGCTCTCTCCTGCCAAAGGAATTTTTCTGAAGTGGAGATGAGACCATGTGTGTTACTCTTCCAGAGGCAGCGTAGTCTTATTGAAAGACATTGGGTTGGGGTTGGTTTTTGTTTTAAAGATTTGTTAGTGAGCATAAGTGGGGGGAGTGGCAAGGAGAGAGAGAGGAAGAAGCCTGCTTCCTGCTGAGCAGAGAGCCCGATGTGGGGGCTCAATCCCAGGACCCTGGGGTCATGACCTGAGCCAAAGGCAGATGCTTAACCGACTGAGCCACCCAGGCACCCTAAACACATCGGTTTTGAAAACAGGAAGACCTGGATCTAAAATTGGTCCAAGCACGAATTAGTTATGTAAATACTTCGCTCTCTAGGCCTCAACTTCACCATTTGTAGAATGGAACCACTACACATCTTACGGGATTGAGAGTTGACTCACATGACATATATAGGGGTTCCAGAGCCGGTTTAAGCCAGCTCCCGAGAGCCAAATGTTCACATCTCTCCCCAACTCCACGCTAAGTGATGCCACGTTGGTAGCTTGAAATAGGCCATGCTGGAAGCATTTACAACACAGAAATCAGCATAGTCTACAGATCAAGGCTTTTTCTTTCCCCCGCAAAGAGGCAATTGCTCAACATTTACTCACACTCCACTGTAGATGATATATCCAGCAGTCAAGGAAAATTAATTCTTGCCCCACATTCACACACATTCTCATGCACACACATATGCTCACAAACACACACATATATACGCTCCTTAAAATCTTTCTGTGGCTCCCTCCTACTTACAGCCTGAAGTCGAAAGCACAAAGCCCTCCAGAATCAGTCCCCTGTGCCTCACCCTCTTCATGTCTTGTTGCTCCTAGTTTTACATCTTGTGCTACTGTTATTTCCAAATCACTTTTATTTATTTGAGCCAGGTGTACACTTCCCAGCTCTGTACCATGGCAACACACGATAAACATAGCTGCTCCATGTGCCCTGAGTCTTATGGATCCTCATTCATCTAACCCTCAAGACCCAGATCAAGTAGCTCTTTCTCTATGAAGACTTCAAGGCAGAAATTGGAGACTGGGGCAGCCCCGGTGGCGTAGTGGTTTAGCGCCGCCTGCAGCCCAGGGTGTGATCCTGGGGACCTGCGATAGAGTCCCACATCAGGCTCCCTGCACGGAGCCTGCTTCTCCCTCTGCCTGTGTCTCTGCCTCTCTCTCTCTCTCTCTCTCTCTCTCTCTCTGTGTGTGTGTGTGTGTGTGTGTGTGTCTCATGAATAAATAAAATCTTTTAAAAAAAAAAAAGAAATTGGAGATTGGCTCCCTCACACCCATCCCACCCTCATGCAGCAGGGTCTGCTGCAGTGCCGGGTGCTCGCACTGGAGACCACATTTTCTGGCTTTCCTCATAACTGTGGTTCCACATTTGGCCCAGCTCAGGCCAAACACTCTGGAGGATGGAACTGAGGATGAGGCATGCTTCTGCTGGCAAACAAGGTAACAGAGGCATCTGGTTTCCTGCAAGAATGTCTGGCCACTCACTTCCTGGGGGTGGAGAGGCTATGAGAGGACCATCCATTGTGTTAGCATGGATCACAACTGAGGCAACGTGATTCTGAGCCAACGGTTGGGGTGTCTTCCCATCTTCAAAAAGCAACAGCTTCAGTGAGCCAGATCTGTTATGTTACTCAGAGATGTACTCCTGGAAGCCCTGCCTAGAGCTTGCTTCTCCAGCCCTTCTAAGAATCTCTCAGGCGCCTAACTTTCCACCTTAAATCCCTTTCAGATTGCTAGAACGGATTCAGTTATCTGCAACCAACCTCACCAAGATTCCTTCTGCAGCCCTCCTCCTGAGCCAGACTAGGTAATTCCACCCTGAATGTTAGCGAGATACTTTCTGCAGATCCTCAATAAAACTTTTATTACCTCTATTACAATGATTAGTTTCCATGTCTGTGTGGCCTTCTGAAGAGTATCGTATTTGTAACACATTGCCTGGCTCTGACTATATGCTTAAGAAATATTTGCTGAATTCATTTGAATGAAGAAATGAGGTGTGAGGGTTCTTTTTCTGAACTGCTGTACTGCTGACGTTCCACCTTGCAGCTCAAACCATAAATCTCAAAGTCCTGTTGTTAAAGATCCCCCGGTATTATTCCTGAGGTAAAAGGTGTTAGCTCACGTGGGCAGGCCAGATTCTAATTTAAAACACGAAGCAGGCTAGGAGATTGTAAATGCAATGGGTAATGCATTATTTAGACAGTAAAGAGAGACTTAAGTAAAGAGAAAATGTATTACTTGCAACCTACTAAGATGGAAATACTTTTAGTGACACATGATTACTATTATTATTGTATAATTCCTTGGATTTTAGGCAGGTGCTTTGCAACCACTTGCATTACTTGTTCCTTTCAACAGCTGTGGGTGGTGAGTTGGATGGTTCCCTGACTTTCCATGAGGAAACTGAGTCCTACAGACAATGGTACTAAAATAAAAATTTAATGAATGCTATTTAGGCGTATCCAAAGAAACTAGAGATTACTTTGTGTCTTGACAACTGAGATTTCTTTTTTCACGGTCATGTTTATTCTCACCAATTATTGTTTACAGTGCATGCTGAATGTTTCGTGATCACAGTAATTTTTGTTTCTCATATCGTCAAAGAACATCAGCTTCATGCTTACTTTACCTCTGGAGAAACTGAGGCATGAAGAAGCCAACCAGGTTATTGAGGGTCACCCAAAGGAGAAAGTTGCATTTCTCTTTATACATTAAATATTTGTGGGGGGGGGATCCCTGGGTGGCTCAACAGTTTGGCTCCTGCCTTTGACCCAGGGTGCAATCCTGGAGTCCTGGGATTGAGTCCCACGTCAGGCTCCTGGCATGGAGCCTGCTTCTCCCTCTGCCTGTGTCTCTGCCTCTCTCTCTCTCTATGTCTATCATGAATAAGTAAATAAAATCTTTTTTAAAAAAATAATAAATAAATAAATAAATATTTTTTTGAGAACCCACTATGTTTCTGGCACTCTGTGCTACCTCCTGAGTGGGCTCGCTGCTTTGTGGTATGGGTGGGTGCCTCACCACCTGACATGAAAAGCTCTTTCCTCAGTACGTGGCCAGTGTACATCATACCTGTGCTTTCCTAATCACCGGCCTCTCGGAGGTCATCAGGCTTGGACCCTGTCCTTTGCAAGAGGAGGAGAGATGCTTCAGCTGTCAATGGTGAACCTTCAATTATCATCCTTTCCGCTGAAGCTTTATTTGGCTGCTTATAACTGACCCTCCCAAACCAGCCCAAACACCATAGAAAAATAGCTTTAACTGGACTTCATAGCTCTTCTGTATCATCAGTGAAATAAGTACAAAAATGAACTGAGCTTCGATTGTCGCCCATGTACGTTGTAAAGTGCTGCAGAGGTTCCCAGACATGGACAAGGCTTGGACTCTGCCCTCGAGGACCTGCAGGTCAAGTTGGAGAGGAAATCGTGTTCACAAAGGACAAAAACCCAAAGCTGGAAGTGGTGAATGCTGGAGGGAGCCCTACGCTGCCAGGGA